TTTGCGGCAGCCGTAGATACACAAACCACTTATGCGAGATGTAGCAAATCAGAGCTGACGGCGATGCGTCTGGTCGGTGCGTTACCGAAAAGCGGCGCGGGCCGCACATGTGCGCATAATTATTTCGGATAATTAGACACGACGCTGCACCGTGTAGCAGGCGTATGGAGTAATGCACCCCTTCGGATCCATTAATGCGCGCGGCCCAACCGGCTTCGCCGCCATCACTGCCGCCACCACTGCCGCCAGGGTTCCGCAACGCGCGGGGTAAGAACGGGCCGTCGTCGTCGCCGTCGCCGTCGCCGTCCTCGTCGACCGTGTCTGCAGCTGCTAATCGCGCAGCTAATTAGGTTAATTTCGGATCGCTTCTGCCGGCGCACCTGCGGCGCGACGCCGAGCGAGCGAGCGAGCGAACGAGCGACGGCGTTTTGCTACCGGTGATCGATGGCCCGGAAACCGGTACGATTTCCATTCGCGACGCCGGCGAAGATTAATCTTTGTTTGCCCCGCTTCGAAATTTTTATTTCACAGGCTGGTTTTTCGGGGTGAAATGGCATGGCCGCCGCTCCCCGTCGCGTCGCGGCTGAATGGTTTCCGTTTATCTGCGACGGAATCTGGCCCTGAATAAACCACGTTAACAACGATCGCGGGTGACTTATGGGAATGTCACTTTTTACCATCGAGTGACAATGCACGATAAACGTTTTTCAACGCGCGACACGGCAATGTGCGTAAAGTTAGCCACATTCCTTGGGAGAACGCGTTAACTTCAACGTGTATGGATTACATTGGACAAAGCGTATCTCTCATATTACAATATCTAACAATATAAGTTATCCTTTTGTATAAAATTATTTGCGATTTAATATCGAGTCTTCGTAGACATTTCGAGATGCATCTTTTTCGAGGAGACTTTCGAAGGAAGTAGCCACAGTCAGCGTTTTCCGCGTGGTTCAGCGTAACTTTCAGCCGGAGCGAAATGAAAATCCCGCGAAACCAAGGCGATCGTTTCGCGGCTTATCTGCCGGCTTCCGTACCCGCAGCCCGGATGGAAAGCATGCGAATTACGAATGGGCTAACTGTCAAGTTATCTCGTATTATATTCCCCGTGTCAACCGCACATGCCCTCCCCCCCGCCGGTGTTTCGCCGTAACAGTTACGACATGCTTTACGATTTAACGTTTCCACGGATACGCGGCCGCTGCGGCCGCTAATGCGAATTCAGCGCGCGTGACTCACGCACGATCAGATATCGGGCGCGCAACGACGCGATGGACCCCGGTCGTCATCTGCGTGCACCGATTTTCGCATCGGAATCGACCATTCATCGGTAACGCGACACGTGGTGAATAGCATGCGCGAAACTGGACCCGATTTCCAAATCGATTCGAATATTTGCCTGGCGAAATTGTTATTCGTCTCGCATTTTTCTGTTTTTTGCGGAAAAATTTGGCGATAGGACTGTTATGCGTTTCGGAGGTATCTTTTTTAAACGACGCGATAACGATATATAACTGCGTACTTGTTTGGAGATAAAAAACGTATGTGCGGTGGATTTTTGCAATGTGCAATTCGAAACGGTGAACTCTTCGGTTTGCATTCAGCCGTAAAACTTGATTCCGCCGCAGAAGTATACGTTCGGGGACGGGCGATTATGGGAAAATCGCGATTTGAGATTACACCGTGCCACGTGCGAATCCGACCGGAGCATTCAAATTTCCGTTGAAGCACAAAAGTTTCACCGATGTCATTGAAAAAAATTCTTTTTTCTTTGACAGCAAACGGGAACGTTGCACGCTTATAAAGCTTCGCGGGAACATCCGGCGTCAAGAAATTCATGAATTTTCCTATTCGGGACTTCACACAAATTTTAAGTTTCGTCGATCGTTTTTAGTCACGCAACTCAATTGACAAAAAAACGCTTACGTATAGATATCCGTTCTCCCGAGAAGGCAACTCAAGTCATAAAACGGTGGAAAGTACAATTCTATTATATGCTATAAAATTGGAATCATATGATGGAAATGGCCATCTGATAATATCGATCGCAACGTGGCAATATAATAGATGTATGAGACAAAATAAAAAAAGAAAGATTTGTCATACACACACATATATATATATATATATATATATATACATACATATATATATATACACACACACCACACACATACACATATAAAAAAGAAATAATGCGCGCGCTTCTTTATATATGGATGGCATTGTCAGCTTGTCGCTTTTAATAAAGAACGAGATAATAAAATTATTATTATAAATTTGAAGCTGTTCGAAGGATTCAGAGAGAGGGTGATGGAGAATGGTGGTGGAATCGTCAGCATCGTTGACAATAGGATTACGTCATAAATCAATGCCTTTGGAAAGCATAATCTGTCAGTGGGCAAACACGCGCACTATGCGCGCGCCGACACACCGATTCATTTTCAGCATAGAGTTCCCGGACGGTTGGCAATTACGCGATATTTAACATTTCTCGCTCGCCGACGTCAGGTTTGTGTGCATCAAATTAGATCCGTCGGTGTTAAACTCATTACAGGTGCTTTACATTTTTTATGTTGTTCGCGGGCAAACCGTGCGCGCTTTTAAAGGAATGCATTCCCACGACTTGTACTTCCCCACGCGACAGTTCCGGGTATAATTTCTCTCTCGGAGAGAGATTTCATTTTCAGCGTTAATTACATTTCGGACACTTAATGAATTAAAATTAAAAACCTTGACAAAAGAATATCCTTGCGCGCAGTGGAATTTTAATGGGAAACTCTTAACAGAAGATTTGCAGTGTGCTCTTTTAATTAAAACTTCTTACGTGTGCTTACGTGTCATAAGCAAACGCACCAAACGTTATCGTACCAATTGTTCCGTGGTCAAATTTAATTGATTTTAGCTTAGTTTACTCAACGAGTAAACTAAGCGAGTACGTTTTCACATATGTATTTTTTCGTTAGTTTGAAAAGTACGTTTGAAAAAGTAATTCAAATATCTATAAATTCTGTTTTCTGTTAAACTGTTTACGTTTGATAATAATTTTCACGAGATTGTTTGTTTTATCGATACGATATTTAATTTATTTTATTACAATACAATTGCCTCTTTTTTTTTACAGTTTTACATGCATCAAATGTAAAAATGTTGCATTCGTAAAAGTAGTCTCGAAGTATCGTGATCGATGACACGGGCACGTGATCGTGGAAACGTAACAGCGTTAAGCGCGAAATTAAGCGTGAGCGATCGCCGCAGATGGAAATTACGTCGGCAGTTTGAGTTTCCAAGTCAGTCGTGATTCATGCCCACGTATATGTCGGCGGACCCGCGCACCAACGACGTGCAGAGATACGAGTAACACAAAATATCGGTCCCACCGCCGACTTTTGGGTTTAAAAGCAGTTTTATCCCTGGCAAAATCCATTCGCGGGCCCCTTCCTCTCCGCCTACGTTCCGTGGGTAATGCTCGGCACCGTAGTTCAACGTCGTTAAACTTTTTCATCTGCTTTTCAAACTCAAAGCCGGCCGAAAGTTTTTCTTCCGCTTGTGGGGCTCGAATGGTGCCACTACATAAATGCATTTTACC